AGATATGCCAGGGGAGGTTTAGGTTGGACATTAGGAAAAGGTTCTTCACCCCGAGGGTGGTGGAGCACTGGAACAGGCTCCCCCGGGAGGTAGTCATGGCGCCTGACAACATTTAAGAAGCATTTGGACAACGCCCTCAGACATATGGTGTGAATTCTGGCGTTGTCCTATGCAGGGACAGGAGTTGGACTCGATGATCCTTGTGGGTCCCTTCCAATTCAGGACATTCTATGATTCTATGATGCTGGGGGGTGCCTGGTGGCTGCCTGCTTCGCTTCCCTTGGCCCTGAATGGGCTGTGCACGGAGCTGCACCCCCCAGAAAGGGGGAGCTGAAGTCCTGCTCTTACAGCTCAATGAGAGGAAGGAAAACAACAACAAAGTCCTTTTCATGTTACCTGCTATAGAACACGTTGATCTCCAAGACATTCAGTCTCCTTCCCTCCATGAATTGAATCATGCTTTGCTTTTGGCCCCTATTGCAATAACACCACAATAAAAGGACAGAGAGAAATGGTTTTCAGACATGTGATGTGTTACCTTTATCCCTGGATTAATCATTTGTAGAGCAGAGATAAAGAACGATCTTGACCTCACATGTTTTTATTTGTATTACAGGAAGGCTCATCTAGGGGTGAAAAAAAAATAGTTCACACTAACATAGGCAGTAATTAGCAGCTCCTGGATGGGGAACTTAACACCAGCCCTGTCTTCCTGTACTCTCTAGGGACCAGAAGGAACTTCTCCTTTAGTGTGACACAGAGATATTGATTTTTCTTGTCTTCCTCCTCCCCTACGTGTCCTCTTTTCAAGCAGACATGGGCAAAACTACAGACTGGACAAAGCTACAGCTGAGCACCAGGCAGGGTGCAATACAGAGAAGCCAATAAAGTGCTGGGGTGGTGCCTCTTGCAGGAATCTCTGTCTCAAAGCAGCTCAGCAGGGATGCCTCCGTTACTTTAACCACTCTGTAGCAGCTGGCTGTTGCCAGGTGGACTCAGGGTTACCCCAACACACCCACCATACAATGGTCACTGCCAGGCTGGTGCCCAGTGCCCTTCCCGAAAGCTAATGCTGTCCTCTGAACAGAGAAGCATCCTCAAATGGAATGTGGGGCTCAACAGCCACCACTGGGACAGGCACAGGTAGAGAAGGGAAACAGGGTTAAGGACAAGACTGACTCTGCTGTCCCAGACCTGTGCTCTGCCCATTACTTTTTTTCTTTTTGCTAATACTGTACAGAATTATAAAACCCCAGCCACTTTTGTATTAATACAGTTTGTTACACCCTTTTGGCATATTTTATCTCCCCAGAAAAACACACATCTTAAAACTTCCAGCAACTATTCCTAAGAAACTTCTCTAGTCAGCAAGATTAAAACCCAAACAAATCAAAACTACCCCTGTCAACCTTTGGATTAAAGGCACTATCACTAGCCAGTGGGGAATTGGTAACAAATCAATTTGCTCCGTGTTCAGAAGCTGTGCTGTTGTAATGGGTGAGGATCACTTTTACCAAATGGCTAGTGCTTTTCCAGCTCCTACCATGGGTAAAACATGTATATCCTGTACCAGACGCATTCAAGATAGATTTAAGTGCAGTTTTCTAATACTACTTTCAGATTACGTTTTGCCCAAAGCAACATTCCTGGCATGACTGCAGAGGACTTGTCTGCAGATCTCTTGTACTGATCCAGGAGCTGCCTGCACGCTGCACAGGCCACGGGGCAAAACACGGCGGTAGTCAAACACAAGATCCCCCCAAAACTAAAACTATCACTCAGAACTTCCCTGAATGTTTAGAAGCGTTTTCGAGCTGTGGCATTATGAAGAGGAACTATACGAAAGAAAAAGTGTCCTGGAAACACATGGTGTTACTAGATGTGACTGTCGTGGTTTAACCCCAGCCAGCAACTAAGCACCACGCAGCCGCTCGCTCACTCCCCCCACCCTGGTGGGATGGGGGAGAGAACTGGAAGGGTGAAAGTCAGAAAACTCATGGGTTGAGATAAGAACAGTTTAATAATTGAAATAAAATGAAATAGAATAGTAGTCAGCAATCGCTGCCCCCTGGCCAACTCCCCCAGTTTCTATACTGAGCATGACGTCATACGGTCCGCAATAGCCCTTTGGCCAGTCAGGGCCAGCTGTCCTGGCTGTGCCCCCTCCCAGCTTCTTGTGCACCTGGCAGAGCATGGGAAGCTGAAAAGTCCTTGACTGGTGTAAGCACTGCTAAGCAACAACTAAACCTTCAGCATGTTATCAACATTATTCTCATACTAGATCCAAAACACAGCGCTATACCAGCTACTAGGAAGAAAATTAACTCTATCCCAGCCAAAACCAGAACAGTGACAGACGGATCTCCCACATCACGGGAAACAGGATACGGCACTGGCTTCCATGCTCAGCACAGACTGAAAACTGCTGCTTTTATGAATAAGGTACACTGGACAAATAACGCACGAGAGAAACCTACCGCACTCCCTGCGTGTGACTGTTGGGCTCTGGCAGAATCATCCGTTCTCTCCTCCTCAGCATGCCTGTCTTCCTGTTTTCCCACCTGGGATTGCCGAGATCCATAAAATTCACTGAAACATTTCCAAGTGTCTAAAAGGCTTTCTCAACTGAAAAAAGAGAATAGAGAATGTTCTCACAAGTTCTTCAAATTTGTTCTCGCGGGGTCATTAACCTAACACTTTCGTAGCACACAGAGTTTTGGAAAGAGTCTTGGAAAGAGTCTCATTAATCAGCAAGTGTATTACTCACCTTTCTTCTTTGTATTCTTAGTGGTAAGAAAAGGAACATAAATAAAAAGCAAAACTGATACCCCAGATGACACCCCTAGGGAAGTCTTACAGAACTGGCCCTGCTTTGTGTTCACAGCCAAACACAAGGATGGCCCACGCGTGGTTGGCTTCAAGGGACCAATACAAGTGGGTACTTAGGCTCTGGTGGTGCAATACACATTCACATCTGGCACATGAATCGCACACTTAGCATGAATGCTGAACAATACTAAATGATTTTTCAGGAATGCTAGCAAGGGGTTTTAATTTCCATCTCCGTAATTTTCAGGAATGATCCACTGGAAGTTGTTCAAACAAAGCCCATGAAATGTGACACTCAACCAAGGAACCAAAACCACCCACGTAATGGGCTTCACTGAGGTACCCAGCTCTGTTACAAACAAGCCGGTCCTGCCTGCTCTCAAGCTGAAGCACAGCCCAGCCTCTCGGGAGGGCAGCAGCATCAGCCTTTGCCATACAAAAAATCCCACCTGGGAAAAGTTGTCCTGGAGATCTGCAAAAAGGAGAAGGGGAAAAAGCAATAGACTTGAAGTCTTGCCCTCTTGTACTAGCTTCCAGAGTGACCTATTGAAGGATGAGGGCAAGTATAGCTTATTCTCATGGAAAAATAGCTAAAAAACATATTAGTTGTATTCTAGACCAATCTACCAGCACAAAGGCAAGAACACCTACAAAGTCTTTTTTTTTTGTTTGTTGGTTTTTAAAGTAGTTCAGTGCAATAAGGAAGTTCCTGTGCTTTAATTCCATGTCTCTGTATTTCACAATTCCCCTTAGGATATATCTTTCTCCTCTGCCAGTAATACATCAACTTACTGATCATAAACATGTACATCTACATTACTTTGAGAACTTACATTTTTATCAATAACATTTCATGGTTTTATTATGAAAACTGATTATCCACATAGATTACCCAGGGAAGTGGTTGAGTCTCCATCCCTGGAGGTATTTAAAGAACGGATAGATGTGGTGCTCGAGGACATGGTATAGATGGACTTGGCAGTGCTGGGTTAACGGTTGGACTCGATGATCTTAAGGGTCTTTTCCAACCTTGACGATTCTATGATTCTATGATTATTGTTGCTAATAAAGCAATTCGAAAATCACATACCTGAGCTGATAACACACAGGTAAGAAATGTACTCATTTATGTCTGATTCACCATCCTGAAAACTAATGATGACTTATTTTAAAAAGTACTGCAGGAAGTGGATGAGGAATATTCAGAAAAATCTGGTTATTGATTTATCTACCAGTAGAATACAGTAAGAAACACTAGAAATGTTTTTTTTTTTTCCCCCACACATGTAATACTGTTGAAACTACGGGAGGTTTCATTTTCTTTTTTGTCACACGTGCTGTTATTTTCACACTAAAGGCAAGAATTATTCCAAGAAATAAGTGTCTCAGGGATATTTACTACAACTTAACACAAAAAACACCCTCGCTGTCAGATGGAAAAAGAAATCCAAGCATCTACTGACTTTGTTTGCTCCAGTTCATACTCAGTTTTCACATTCAAGGGTAAAGTTGTGTTGTTTCCACTGCAGCCCGTGTCACTGGATCCGATCACTCAGAACAAGCTAGGGAGTTTGGGCCAGCAACCTAAGGGGAGTTGACCAAATATCAGAGTTTGCAAGAAGTTTTTACAGCACCCAACACCAGCACGGCCATTTAACAGTAACAGAAGACATCAAAACAAAGCCTATTTTGAAGCCAAATGTCTGCAAGAGACACCCGGCAGTCAGAACACCCCACTGCCCTGTGCGTGGGGGGTCGGGCCTTGCCTCATTCTAAGGGAGAGGGTGGTCTGCTTGTAGCGTTGACATCCTCCTGTGTCTCTTCACGGTATCTCTAAAGAAAGCCCTGGGCAAGAGGAACAAACTGACTCTGACACCCCCAAATCTGAAACCCTTATTTTAAACCTACAAGTTTAAGGATACAGAACTATGCCATGGAGGGAGGGGGGCCCGGACTACAGACGGGGTGCTGGGTGCAGGAGGGAGCGGGCCCTCCGCGCCTCGGCCGCTCCCCTCACAGCCGGG